ACAGCCATCCACTTCCGATGCCCAGCCTAGCGTACTTACAGTCGGAATCACCGGCGATGCTCTACTAGTAAACAAGAAGTTTGCAGAGCATCTCGAAAGTTGGAAAGAACGTCAGCAATCAGCACACGACTTCCTCTCCTCCCTCCTCTACTTTGGCCCTCCAGATGACGAGCGCATCCGTGTTGAAGAGATCCAAGAACCCGGGCCGAACGGACATGCCGTCCACGTCAGCTATCCCTTCGGGCTTACTATCAAATATGTCGAGATTTGGGATCCCTTCGGCCCAACCATCACTGACAAAGACATCTCTGCCTTGGTGCTGTCGCTCGAGACAAGGAGCGGAGGTGCTGCAGTGAACAACAAGCGCAGCGAGCAGGGATGGGACCCCCTTGAGGTCTTTGAGGTTGCTGTTCTCGATGCCAGCGAAGAAGACAGCATCGATGAAACCTTCCAGAGCAAGCTGAGCAGCACCGAGGTTCGTCGGAAACGAAGCGAACGTGTTCAATCCAGAGCGAAAGCGTGACCCGATAGGTGTGTTTGGACGGGTTGATGGAGAGACACGTCTTTGAGTGTTTGCCGTGCTGGAACAGGCCCAGGCGATATGTGAGTAGAGTTTTCGTCGGCACGAGAGGTCGACAAGTCGACAAGGCAGGAGGTCATCTAGTGTCATTTTTTGTGCGACGCTCTACGACAGCTGCGTGCGCCATAGCTACACGACCGCGCAGGTCCGCATGACGTTACCAGGGCAAGTATAGGCTTGTGAAGCAACACGTCGATCTGACCGGCAGTTCCACGCATGCATCGTCATCGGCGCATGTACGAGCGGGATTGCGGCCATGTCCTCTCCGTCCCGAATTTGTGCGATGACCGAATTCGGGTCGCTTGCGCCTCAAGATGCTTGTATACTATCTACATATTGAACGCAGTACCTCGTGTACTGAAATGCGACTTGCATGCTATCATCCCCTGAGAGCAGGACAGATGACGCACTGCAACAGCGTACGCACATTGCGAGACATAGCGACACCCGTTTCAGCCCACTATGAGGCTCCTAAAGCTCCGTGTCGTCATGAGATGCCCATCGCTTCAATGGCGTTTGCGCCATCCCAAGTACACGGCAGTGGAATCGGCCGGATGACGCATCTGAAGCGCTTGTGACGCCAATCAGCCGACCTCCAGATGCATGCTTCGTTGGCAACGCATCGAGACCATCCATGGATGGAAATTCGTGTAGTGGGCTGTGGGGAGCAGGCCTCTGGGCCTCGAATCAGCGCAGGCGTAACAGCCAGCCCTAGCGAATTTGTGCAGTAGTCCACAGCGACCATTCGACTCTTCATCGCGGGAGGAGCCATGCATGTTTACCGTCCTGCTTATGTAAATGCAGACGCTAGTGATCATGTGAGACGTTAAGCCCGTTGCAGTTTAATGCATCGCGGTTTGGGCGAGGGCGTACCGGGGTGCACGCTGCAAGTTGCAGGCGGCGTGTCCAGTCCCAGGTCGTCTTCGCAACTCTACGCTTAGCTGACTGCTGGCAGAGAGGTCATGCATTTCTTTCTCCGACCACGCCCCTCTGGCTGTCCTTCGCTTGCTATCCCATAGATCGGTGCCGGCCGTCGGATAACACCACGTTGTCAGTTGACTCGACTGTCCCGCTGTCGCTACGCTCACTACCACCTGCCATTCCCTCCTCCCGACCCGGCCCGAACGCTGCTGCCCTGCATTGAGAGTATATCCGCTGTGCGGTGCGCTCCTAAATCGCGCTGGGAAGCTTCGTGAGCAGAGCTTCTTCGGAGCGGCCGTCATGAATGTGACCACTTAAAATGGGTATCCTCGATCTCGCCGACGAGCTTCTTCGCATCATCCTCGAATATGTTGCGAGCGAACCAGAAAAACCGATAAGCCTGGAGCGCCGCGCATATCTGTCGCAGGAATCTTTCAAGCTGCCCCTCCCACCTGAGCCCGACGATGCCGAAACGATTGCGAGCTTTAGGTAAGTTGCATAGCTGTGTGGAGTGCATCTGAGACACACACTGACTTCGTATCCTCACCTTTGTAGATTGACTTGCAGAAGATTCAGCAATTTGGTGAGTCCGGCTGTACGAAGTGCACGTGAGACATGTACTGAGCCTCTGCAGGGTGTCATTCATCAGTTCTCGCGCGTTACGACACGTTTCTCGCGAAAGGGACTCGAAAGATTAGAGAAAATAGCCGGCCAGCCTCACATTGCCGGCCGTGTGAAGAAGTTCAGTTACATGGTGCCATTTTTCTACGACCAAGGACGAGACCGCATACAGGAGCTTTTGCAGACACGACCCGAGAGTTTCAGCTCCCTTGATATTGAAAAATTTCAGAAAAAGGTGAATGAGCAGACCAGCCTTCTCAACAGCAGGAAAGATGCACATATCCTGCATTTCGCGCTCCAGCGATTCACTTCACTCCAGCATATCCAGATCCTACGCCTGCAGGACCAGGAAGATGCCGTGTTAATCACGTACATGCGGGGTCACAACGAGTTGAACGGTCTAGTACCGACATGGCCGCCGGCATGCTTGCATAGCGCGAAAACAATCGGTCAAGCAAGTAATATCCGTGTACGGATTGATAGGGGACATTTACTAACTTCGACCTCGGTCTTCAGGCCCTCCTTGAGTCCGAGTCGCCATGTTCGCGATTCTCGTCACCCATGCTAAGCCCGCAGAGCGTCCTAGGTGCCGCTAGCAATCCGCCATCAACCCTGGGAATCCTTGCCGAACGCCTGACCTGCTTAGAGCTACATTTCGATGACAGCACGGACCTCGACGTTCGGATGCGACATCTCACCTCCCTGTCCAAGGCATTGTTTACTGCGGCTAAGAACATTGAAGCCGTGCACATTGGCTTTCCTTCATACCGACCACTCACATTGCGGCTAGAAGAGCTTTTCCACAACGTGAAGTGGGAAAAGCTGCAGGGTACGTTTTGCGTCTCTGCGTCATGAGACATACACTAACCTGATATCCCGTCTTTGCAGCTTTTGGGATCCAAGCCTGGCGTCTCAATGCAGATGAAATTCTGGGCATTGCCCGACGACACCGAGATACATTGCGTGGCCTGCGTCTGCGTGATGTACTCTTGAAAGAGGGCAGTATGTGGAAAGACGTGCTTCCCTGTCTACGTGATGAGCTCACAAGGCTTGACTGGATTTCTCTCAGGCGTATCGGATACGAGAAGCAAGTAATATCCGCGTACAAACGGTTGTGAGACATCTACTGACTGTTTACATCAATATCCAGGCACTTCGACGAGCAGTTCGTTATGGGAGCCGAAGTACCAGAAGACGACCCTCTTGGAAGCGACAGCAGCGACGAAAGCGATTACGAATACGAACACGAGCACGATGATCCATCTAATGAGAATGACGCTGATGGCAGTTCAATAGCTGACACGGAATCTGACGCAGAGACCGACGAGCCTGAACAGGGTGGTAAGTTCTGGCTGTAGGAAGTGCATGTGAGACATATACTGACCTCTACAGGCACCCTTTCCTTCCCGCCCATGCCCGATACCCCAGCCTCGATTACATGGTGCAACTGCGAAGGACAAACGGATGGCGTCGACGTCCTAGCAGACGACGGAATCATGGTCACCAATCAGCAGCGCAAGTTCTGGGAGAAGTGGGTCGTAAGGAAGATCTGCACCGAGCAGCATGGCCACAAATGAGCGGCGTCGAAAACGACCACCAGAAAAGGATGCGAAGCTATGCGAAGCAAAGCCGCGAAGATATTTGTTGGGCGGTGTTGGTGGAATGGGCGTAAAAGAAAAAGCAATTACCCATCGAACCGTATCCTAGCCCTGGAGCTTTCGTATGCAGGCGCGATCACGTTTCGGATCCCGTATGCGGTCTACGGACCGCATATGCATGTGGAGCAGCAGCCACAGCACCATGGACGGGCGCTTATGCGCAAACCCATCAACCCGTCACCTGGTCACCTCAACCCCATCTTCGTCGGTTGTGCGAACGCCAGACTGTGCCGTATCGTTGCAGGCGGTTTTTCTGGACCCGACTAGCCGTATTTCACGCATTCGCCTTTTATTTGCAATGGGCGGGACGAATCATGCGGCAACCAACGGGACTAGGGAACTTCCAATCTTCTCGGCCGTCTATCTCTTCCAAGTTCTTACTTCGATCTGTCAAAGCTTAGCGCCGGCGCAGCTCCCCTCCCGACTATTTCGCATACCGCTTGTGAGGGGAAGGTGGTTTCCGTCTAGGTCTTCTGTTACGCCACGCCAAAAGTTGTGCGCTTTGCATTCTGCTCTTGTTTTCTTTTTCCTTCGGCTTCTCGACGTCAGTAACGAATGTAACGTAGCGTGGGAAGGTATCTGCTTTGAAATCTGATTGAATCATCATAGATATCTTCGATTTTCGCATATTTCCTCTGAATCCGTGCTGACAAGTCAAGACATGGTGAAGGTCACACCGGCAAGCCTCACTGCTAATGCTGTGGCGGAACAGTCAACTTCCACACTCAGCTATTACATCGACCTGAGCTCTACCCACCCACTTTGCCACGATGGATCGGCTCTACTAACACTTAAGAACAACTCCTTTCGCGTGCCCGGCTCTCAACTTGACGCATGTGGGTGCGCTGGCTCACTGTTCTTGAGAACGCGCCGTATGGAGCCGCCTCTTTCACCTCACCTCACCACGCGCAACCGCGCTCATGACACGCCGGACGCGCTGCGACACGTTTCTCTGGCGCGTACACGCGACTTGAGTCCGACGCGCCCCGAGCTGGCTGCCTGGTGGGTTGAAAACTCTTCAAACTATATAATATCTTCTCTCTTTTAACCTCAGCCGATTACAACCTTCACTCATCGCTTCCAGAACCGCCAGCGTGCTGTTTCATCTACTCTTCGTTGCATCTGGATCGGCAAACGCGTACTCCATCGCAATGACGAGACACGTTTGGAGAGCAGCAGATGCCGGTGTGATGCTGTGGGAGCCGGCGGTGGCAGCCACGATGCCGCCGGCACTGCAAGAGCCACGCCCACTAAAGCAATCGCACACTGTGACTGAGGATGATATACAAGGCAAGTGGTCACTCGTCATCCTTCTTTTCCTTATCCATGAAGCAGCTACTGACACCGTCTCAGCGTCCTTGGCCAGCAGTCGCGATGACAACGAGCAAGACTTGTTGCTTCCTTCAATCGAAGATGTCTTTGTGCCATATATCAAGAGCGAGCCTGGAGAAGTGACCAATGCAGTCTGCTCGTCAACAGTCGGTACCTCCGCTTCGGACAAATCCAAGCAGCGTTCTCCTTCGTACGATTCTGAAAGCACACTACCACTGTCAACTCCTTGTCCGTCGGACGAAGACAGAGCTGTTCCTGCTATACTTCAAATTCCAGCAAGAACAAGCCACCATCTCGACACTGGTAACACCGCATACACACCAGAAGTACGAAGGACTCTAGACTTCGGTATGCCAGCCCTTCGCCTCACCAACGACAATGTACAACAGGCCTCTGAGCCTAGCGACTTCACTTCGCTGGCAGCACTGCGAAGGCTGGAACGAGACCCTCCCCATCACTGGCATGAAGACGAACGAGAGCTACTAACCATCCTTTATCGATGGTACGAAGACACAAACGTGGCAACCATCCCAAAGGTCTTCAATGCCATTACCGGCCTCAATCTCAGGCTTAATGTCATTCGCTATCAATTCGAAAGCCACCTCATTCTGTATGGTGGTCGTGCGTACCCCGAGTTCGATCGAGTAATGAAAGTCCCCTTCCACGACCCCGAACACAAGTACGACGAGATCCACGCGATCATCGAAGATACCGCCTGCGAGTCTGGCATTGACTTGTCAAGACGTACACACGAGGTGAGAATCGAGTCTGGCTTGGCGAGAACTGCAAAGTCTCCCAAGACGAGAAAGCATTACAAATCCCTAGTTAGACGTGCGCTAAAGAGGGAAAAGGAGAGAGCACGCGCCCTTCGCACGCCGGCTCCGGAAGATCTACCACTGCAGGCTCTACAGCTCGGCGGGATGACATTAGCTGAGCAAGACGATGAGGGAACATGGTCAGACGTTGATGGCTATCACACACCGCCTATCACGCCCACCCAGTCACGCCCACGGGCTCCCCCTGGGAGAAATACGATTGGATTCCGCGTTTGGGATGCAAACAGCCGAACGATGTTCGACGACGAGACAGGCTTCGTAAGCCAAGCCTTTTCGATCTGGAGGGGCGAGTTTCCACCGCCGTTCTCACCAGACGGACAAGGTCAACAGGCTCTCATGCTGTTGACGAACCTGCATCTGTCGATGAGTGGCGGAGCGTCTGCATTCGTATCAGTTTCGACGAGTCTTTTGCAGGCGCTCGTCAAGGCCTCAACAATGTTTGAGCCCAGGATCGCCGTCAGTATGTTGAAGTCCCACGTAAAGTAACATCTTGGTCTCATGCTAACTTCGGTGATTTCCTTTAGTTGCACTCGATCATCCACTGCTCACAGAACCGCACAAGACTCTGCCAGCAGCAGATGTGATGCGGATGCTTAAAGCAGAAGGTCAGGCATGGTGGGCACGATACAAGGGTCACGCAGGTGAGTCGTCAATACGCTGTACATGTCGCGCTTTTACTGAAAGTCACCCAGAGCGAATGGTTTGGGCTTCCGTTCCATCTGCAGCGGTACTCTCACACTTCCCGCTTTCCGACCTCACTGTTTTATCGCGCCACAACCAAGCTTGCGATGACATCCTCAACTTGCGGGATATACGATCCGGTCGGAAAACCCAATACGTCTCCTCGCTATTGCGCAACAGGAACACAATCATCAACATCCGCACCGCACGCGCTATGGCTGTGGTATGCAGAGCCTTCAAGATGCACCGCGTCGGCGTCAGCCTTGCGCATATCCAAGGACTGGTCTCGTCGTTGGTGGATTCGTTTCAGCTGAAGCAGGGGACAAGCGATACACCTCACATGTCCGGGTTGATCGCTAAAGCGTTCGCTGTGTCGCTCGTATCGCAGGCTCATCGTACTCATGATGTTGAGGCGGCTTTCCTGGAAGGCGTTCTGCAAGGCACTGTTAGTACTATTAATGGAATGAACGGATGTGAGACGTTTACTGACTTTTTACGTCGATGTTTAGGCTACTATTGAGTTCTATACGCGTCGTCGACCTGCGGCGACGCGACGACGCAGTGGCTGAGAACGTCTCGACAACCCCTTCGGGTCCTCAACTCTACGCAACAGCTTTTCTTAGATACTACGGGCCTTTGGCGATTACAGGAGTAGGGGTAATTGCGAGGAATGGCTCTCGGCATGATTTATCGAGAACATTTGGCGAAGTGCTAATGTCGTATGACATCTGAGCTTTCGTAGAGATGTTATACATTGTGTATGGGTCTATTGGAGTGTAGAATAGTTGGCTACATTTTACAGAACGCAGAGACATGCGACGTCAACTTTACCTTCAAAAACGTTGAGCGTACAATAGTGGAGGATGTCGCTACCACGGTTACTCGCTATCAAGCCTCCTTTCCCTCGCCTCAGATCCAGAACCTTCAGAAATCTCCTCACTCGCATCGCTCCCATCGCTCTCGACCCCATTCATAACCACCCGATTTGTCTCAACCCGGTCCATCCCCACACCATCCATCTGGCCCGCCTGCGCCGCACGCTCCCTCGCCGCCATATGCCTCATCATCTCCTCCTCCATAGTCCCCCTCTGTCTGCGAATCTCCCGCCACATCTCCTCCACTTCCGCGATCTCCGCATCCATACTATCTTCACTGACATCCTCACTACTCCCTTCGCTACGCCCCGCACTTCCCTCTTCCACACCCCCCCTCTCCGCGAGAGAAGAAGCACGACCGGCTCTCCTCATATCCCTCGCACAGCGACGCCGCCTAAGCGTTGCAGTAGGGGTCTCATAAGCGCCGTTACGGTAGAGTTCCACGTTATCTGATGGCTCGACATTCGTAGGGGGAGGGGGGTTGGAAGTGGGAACAGTGTCGCCGTTTGTACTTCCAACGGCGGAGTTGACGAGTGTGGTTCCGCTTAACGACGCACTCCTCGAAGAGCGCGTTGAAGACTCCGATGACGCCCTCGCAACATCTCTACCATAGTCCGCATGTGCGCGTTGAAGGTGATAAATTTCCTCATCTTCTGCACCTTCGCCTCGCAGGCGTAAAACGAGGCCGCCGGGAGTGCGAGTCACAGAGCCCCAGCTTCCGATTGCTTCATTGAGTTCAGGGGTGGAGAGGCGTGGGCGCGGGCGGATGTCTTCTGGGCCGGCGGTGAGCCGCTCTGCAGCTTCATCGTGCGTAGTGGTGTTATCAGCGTCCCGCATTACAATACCGCCGTTGATGTAAAAGGAATTCACAGCACCACCGTCATTTCTTATCTCTCGCAGTCTTCTTTCAAAGACTTCTTCGTGACCGCTGAACGTATCTTCATCGGCATCCACGCTCAGATCCTCCACTCCAGGTCGATTTTCCCCTCCGTTTACAAACGCTGAACTGGGTCTGATCATAACATTCCGTGCTCGGTTAGCAAGGCCTAACCCGAGAGCTACAGCGTATCTGGCCGCGATTTCATCGATGACGGGTCTGCTGAGCACGGGAAGTACTCTTTGCAGTGTTTGGCGGAGAGGAGTGACGAGATCTGCTGTTTGTGGGCTTATGTAGAACTCTCCTGTGGGTCCAGGTATGAAGTCAGTGAATGTGAGGGTAGGGAGGAGAGTATGACTTTCGCGATGGCCGTTGGTGAGGGGAGGGTGTGGGACATGTATGTCCGTGAAAGGGGCGAGGGTGTGGTTATTGGCTGGGTTGTTTTGCGTTGGCCTACTTTCTGTTCTGATGATCGAATCTACAGTCCTAAACGTAGTTATATTTCCAGTAATAGTTGAAGTGGTCATGGAGCGAGTAGACCTCAAATGGATTTCCCCGGGTGGAACTTCTTGGACATCCCAGTTTGTTAAGGCAGCACGATTTCTATCAGCATCAGCCAATGATCTGGTGTATATCTCAACAATGGCAGCGATGTCGTGTGGTGCAATGCGTGGTCTAGTATTCTCTAGGATCAGCGTAAGTATGTTTGCACGTCGCGCTTCTTCCGTCTCGTTTTGGATCGCTATTCTCGTGAGACGTTGACGTGGAGGATGTGTTTGAGGGGAAGGGGGGATAAACCTAGGTGGTGAATTGTGGGTGACTCTTGGCTGACGGCTGAAGCTAAACGTTGCTTGATGCAGAGGAAGTGAGGGCGTTTGGGGGTATTCATGGACGACAACTGGACGAGAAGGTTGATGGAACCCATTTATTAAAGGAGTGTAGCTACCCCTGGTGATTGCGGGAGCGTGAGTGTCTTCATGGCCTAGCATTCTTGCGCGAGTCTCTTCACGTCCATGCTGGCGGGAGGTTTGTGTGATAGTATTAGTTGCATCGTTCACGGGCGTGGAGGTCCTTTCAGGGCTGGGCGGCAACTCTGTGGCAGCTGCTTCCTCTAGTGCTTCGTCGTCGCTTAGTATGATATCGGCTCCGCCTCGAAGCCGTACCCCAGGAGCTTGGAACTCAGGAACTCCTTCAGTGAGATGCCGGCCGGAGCCGCAGATCCTGTTCATCATCGACCTCTGTATCATACGGCAAGCGTACTCTCGGGCTCGCTGCTCTTCCAGAAACTCGTCGACATCGAACGGCTTTCGTACAGGTACTTGTCCTTCATAAAGCCTTTGCAGTTCTCCGTCTCCATCGTCTTCCATTTCTTTCTCATCTTCAGCATCGTCGGCCGTCTCGCTGCCTCTCCACTGTCGCCTCTCCATATCTCTTACTTCGTTTTCCAGCCTCCACGTTCTCTGCCTTTCTCGATCAACCATTCTTCTCAAAACCCTGACTTCTTCGATGAGTGCTGGTACAATATCCTCAAGATCCTCAAGGTTGTCCACTCGATCTTGAGTCTCCGGATGTGCTTCAGGACCCCGGAAGTATATCGCTAAAGAGAAGAGGAAGGAAGATATGGCGAGGGCGGGAAAGGTAGCCGTTAGGAGGATGCTGAAATTGCTGCTGTTCATTTTGAGTTCGTACAAGTGTTCTTTCTCGATTGTAGAGAAGGGGTATATGGATAGTAGGAGTGTTAGAGATGGCTTTTGAGGGCAGGCGATGCTGATGAAGTGTCGAGTTGCGATACATATTCGACATGCTGGACGCTTGAAGTTGTGGACCCGTCAGTCAGTCGGTCACTGTGGGTGTGTCCTTTTGCGCGCTGGTCACAAGACAATTCCAACCTGCTGGGCCCGTGAAGGAGTCACTCAATGAATGCAGCTTGTAACAGTTACAGTATTCTTCACCCGCACTCGTGATGGCGGTGAGACTCACACAACAAACGATACAAGCTGTGTCTTCCCTTCATACGATGTCACAGAAATTTCCCCATCATCAAGTCTCCCGTACGCCGTGGCTATCCGCCTTATCTGAAATCACGACATCACGCACACAAATGCAAATTCGACCTTGCACAACTAAATCCGTAATGTTTGATGAATATACAGATTGGTATAATATTACTTATGAAGTGTATGTATGTACAAAGAAACTCCGGTCATCGTTTCATTCGATGTTTAACCAGAGGCAGCAATAACCATGGTGTACTGAGCGACCTGGGAGCAGACAAAGTCGTTAGGACCGTTGCCACCAGCGTGGCAGTAGGTGGGAACAACGCCCTGACCCCAGAAGCCGAAACTGTTCGCACATGTTAGTCTATCGTCCAAGTTCTGTGTCACTTGATTTACGTACGCAGGGCCAAGCTCGTGGTAGAGAGTAATGGGGTAGTCGCCGTTGATGTCCTTGGTCATGGCGAAACGGTACTTGCTGTCGCCGCAGTTGACAATGGGAGCGGGGAGAGTAGGGTAGGGTCCGCCGACGCAGGAAAGGTCGGTGGCGTTGCGGCCGTCAATCTTGAATGAGACGGACTGGAGGGTGCCGTTGTTCTTGCGGATGGTGTAGTCCTTGAAGTTGACGTTCTCGTAGCTGTTGACGTCTGGTGGGCCCTGGCAGTGAGCCGGGTTAGGGCAGTCGGAAGTCTGGGGAGCGGGTGCGGCCATGGCGGCGGCACCGAAGAGAGCGGCGAGGGTAAGGAACTGCATTTTGTCTGATTTGAGAGGTTTGGTGGTGTTGGTAGGTAAGGTGTTTAGAGATTGACTGCTTGGATGATGGATACAAGATGGGGTGGCTGAAGCCGTACTTATATCTCCACGAAGATCTTCATTACCATCTGAACGTCACTTAATCGAGCGCTCGACCAACAACCAACAATGCTCATGGATTCGGTCATACCTCCTCGTATTTCTCACCGTGGTGGGTTGCATTCGGGCAATGATGTTGCCCCCCGGACGGGCGTGCACCGGCGTAGGCACAAATCTCCGAGCCTAACGTGTGGACCCCTTGACCGCTAACAGGCTTCTGTGATGTAAGTGGCATTGATCGTCGAACAACAAGGCAGGTACCTCGTATACTGCAGTTGCGCATGCTGTGATGGCTATTGCGGCTTGATGCATTGTTCTCGTTTTCGCATGTCGGCACGTTGCCTAGGTGAGCTCTGCCTTGACTGAGACGTCTGTGGTGATGACTTCGTTCACCGCAACTGCTCCTGTGAAGGGCCAGCACATTAACGTGGAATTCATCTTGGCATTAGTGATGCAGGAACCACCTGCGAGCGGTGACAATTTTGGGTCCGCGAAGCTGAGCCTCAACTTTGGTATGCAGGGTGCCGGAGCCGCACGCCACACCCGCTGACGCCACAAGCAGCGTGGCCGATGAGGCTGGCTGTTGACGTAACGTAGGCTTCGCCATTCAATCTAGCGCCACATTACATCAGATTCCGTTCGCAAATGCGAATCCGGTCGGCATGGCCGTCGTGGTGAGTGCGCGAGCCCGGTTCCTAAAATAGCGGCACATGCGTTGCACCTAGCGACGGTATGCATGATGGGAAAAACACCTCAACCTCGTGTGGTGTGTTTCGTGTCAGGAGGCGTTTGTGGAGCGCATGTTTGTTGAGACTTTCGATAGTGCGACAAGTTTGCGGGCCCCTAATCTAAATATGGCATGATGTCATTGGGCACGCTGTGCAAGACTCGAAAGTTCGATGTCAATGTTCAGGACAACACGCTGCACGTGGAAACCTACGTGTGGAATGCTTTTTTTTTTTTCGTGCTGGCAGCTCTCAAGATAGCACATCCGTCAAGGTAACGATGAACGTTTCGTGGTCGCTCTGAGCACGCCAGAACAAGCGCCTCGGCAATAGGAAACCGCGTTTTGCTGAGACGCGACCTAGTACTGTACGTCGTTATCGCTACCAAACAATTTGCACAGCTACTGCGCAGTCGAAGGGACGCTCATCGGGGCTATCAACGCGAACACTGATGTATCACATGACAGTGTTGTGGGGAGCAGGCTTCGAGAAGTCGCACCGAATCAACGATTGATGATCGCAATCTCGTGTACGATAACTATCCCAACCTCGCAAGTATTAGCGACCTTCCTCGACAGTTGTACGGGATACTTGCTCTCAGAAGGCGGTACATTTCTCCGCGCAAGTCTTGTCCAGTCAGACATTTAGGCAATATCCGTGTTGACTGCAGACATAAGCGTTGTTGTGGAACATGATGAAGGAGTGTGATTAGGGCGACTCTGCTATGCTGCAAGCGCGGCCTGTCTCATAACGATAATTGCATGTTTAGAGATTGGAGACAAAACCCCATGAGGAAGTGGCAAGGACGCAGAGGCGTATACGTAGAAGATCGTTGTATCGTTTGGTTATGGTATGACTACTGTTGTACTAAAATGAGAGAAGTGCACCAAACAAATGAGAGGGTATATAACATGCTCGTTGCGACCTTTTTGAACGCCGGAACACCATGCATGAAGCTCGCTAACAGCAAAGGAAGTAAAGCACAGAAGATAAGAAGACCTTGGAAGTTGCGCTGCATTTAGTGTCGCCAAAGAGTTGACAATCGGCGCTCTGTCTTGACGCCACGGTCTTCCTCGTTGCGGGGTCTGAGTCGCGAGAAGGGCGCTTTGAAGGCGGTCGGGATCTTAGCCATGGATGGCGAAGTAGAGCTTGTGGGTGTTCCAGGATTGGTTCGTGCTTTTTGTTGTATGAGAGTAGCTTTATACTGCTCCCAGTAGCCGGTGGGTGTCGCGCTCGCAGGCGTGGAGAACCTTGAGTCTTTCACCGGCGATGTAGCATTATCCAAAACTGACGAGGTAGATTTGGATCTGTTTCGGTAAGGAAGGTTAGGTCTCTTATCGGCAATGAGAGCGCGTGCCTCTTCGGCAGTGAAAGTGGGTCGTGTGTCGGGAAACAGATTCATACGGGGTCGAGTGGGTGAGGGCGGAGTGGAGACAGCCATGCCAATGGTTGAGTCGACTTGAGAGTGCTCATGAACATCGTGAGTGACTTCTGACTCTTCCTTCTCAAACCCAAACTCGAACTCGACTTTAGGAGACTGTTGTCGCAGGAGAGGATGTATATGACTTTGTGCCGGGAGTGACATGGTTCCTGGCGACTCAAAAGAGACCAGTCCACCCAGAAGCCCACTTTCTTCTGCAGCGCTGACTTTACGAGTAGGGCTGCCCGCAGATGCACTAGACTTGGATGAAACCACACTCGCGCCTTCGCTCCATAGGGAGCTTGCTGTAGAGCTGGTACTGTCTGAACGGCTAGGAGGCTCACCAGTGCGGGCTAGGTACAGTGGGCATGTAGCACGCTCGAGCTGAACAGAATCGAGTAGAGGCGTTCGGGGACGTGCGGCTGTGCTTGCTGTAGAACCCTGCCTGCTACGAGTGACTGAGGGCGTTCGTGATCGGAGCCAAGAGGTATCCAGTACAGGTCCGCTCTCTGCAGTGATTGCCGTGGAATGCTCGGAATAAACAGAAGAGGTTTTGCGAGCGTGGTCCTGAGAGGATGGGACAGAGTCTTTCGACATGTCACTAGTTTCTTGAACAACGCCAGCAGGCTTCTGTGTAGTTTTCATTGTGAGACTGTTGCTCCGCGAGCCTCGAGTAGAAAGTGATCGCCGCGCTAGAGAACGCACAGAGGACGAACGAGGTAGTTGAGATATCTTAAGGGGCGCAACCTCCATGGATCCACGTCGACTCATGTTTTGCGGTGTAAAGTAATCTTCCCTTTGGCAATCTGGCTCTATCGAATATAAACTGCTTTGAGAGTCATCAAGACCTTCGTCCATGGCAACAGGCGCCTTAGCTGGAGGTGACGCCAAAGGAGTTGTAGCAACGCTATTGGTAGTCGAGGTGGGTTCCGCAACGTAGCACAAGGCATAGTCCGGGCTTTCAGTATCCCGAACTTCTTTTGGCGCCCTCAGAGCAGACACAAGATATTGCAAAGTGCCGTAGATCAAGAGCCACCTGACTTTACGCGCATCCGTCGCTGATACCTTGCCTTGGCGTTGACTTGGGGTGGTAGCATGCGCCTTCTCAAAGTGGATATATGCCTGTACGATGTTGGAATCCATCGCACTGGGCTCTAGAACGTTCGTCGCCGCTGCTAGAGCACCATGCATGGTATCTTGCACATGCGTCTTGTTATACTGCGAGGCCAGAACCAGCTGTCTCAAGGCCTTTTGAGAATTCGTTTTCTGGGAGTTTGTTCTCTTCAGTGGCGAAGTGTATGTTGGTAGGAGAGGTAACGGGTGCGGCTGAGACTTGAAGCCATGTCGTTGATCGAACGTTGCAATGTTCTGCAAGACACAGATACCGCCGATAGCTGGTCTTTGGGAGGAGATATCGGCAGTTGACTCGGTGTCTACGAGGTAGTCGTACAAGTTCTGAAAGTCATAGTACATTGACTTGTATAGAGCTTTGGGGAAAGCGGCGCCTCGTGGTGGTGGCCAATAGCCAAATTTATCGACGTAGAAGGTATGCAAGAAGCGGCGGAACCGATCGAGATGGCTCCTGGCCCCGTCCGTCAATCCGAGGTGAGTCGGCGAGAGGTCTTCCTGTAGAAACCTGCTCAGTGCGGTCGATACGCGCCCGAGATGGCCATCGACTTCGAGATGCGCGCGGGTAATCAATGCTTTGGTGAGCTTCGAAGTCAGCTACAATGTGTTAGTACAGCGGCCTGTAGCAGTTGACGGGGTTCATACCACGTATTCAGGACTGAGAACTAAGCTGTCGCTCATACCGACGCAATGGGCAAAAGCATCGACCCAGATGTCTCTAAGTTTAAAATGCTCAGCGTAGTAGAGGCTTGCAAGGGCATAGTCCGTGCATTCCACCAGATCCCGGTACCCTTGGTTCTCAGCGTAGTCCAGAAAGTCTTGATGATTGTTTGGATGACTTGGACGGAAGTGGTGTAAACGTTCCTGGACATCTACGAATGCTTGGCCCATATGATCGCCTACCAGTGGTTTACCCAGAAGGAAGGCGAAGAAGTTGCGAGTCGCAATATGCCGTCTGAACGAATTCTCTCGAGATAATTCCTCTGGAGCCGGAATGAAGAGCTCGACGATGCCATGTTCCCCATTGGCGTTGGTAAGAGAGCTGGGCATTCGCCTCAGGTGCTGGAAAGCTGATCCTGGAGCAGACGCGATCTGCGCATCACATAGCTGGAGCATCGCCTCACACTTCTTTTGTCGTAGAAGCCTGAACGGAATGCAGAAGGACGGACCACGACGCGAGACTCCTTTGGCATGTAGATGAACGAGGCAATCCCCTTCCTCATACCATAATTCTGGATCCTTTCGCATCGTTAGCTTAGTCTTACTGTGATTGGGTCGTACATACCCTGCGTAGTCCATGATCCCAATCGCTCACAGTACGGGTCAAGCCTGACCAACGTTGTACTTTGGTTGGATGCATCGGCTTTGAAAATGTTACAAGGCAGCTGGCGGACCTTGGTCGCGTTTCGGTGGACTTGGGAGGTCCCTTGCCGGTACTATCTTCTACTAATGTAGAGGCGACGCGATCGCCAACCGCGAAGCTATGACGTGCGGCTGTAGGTGGGCTGGTATGGTGAGGTAGTGTTGATCCACTTGTCGATGCCGCGGAGACTACCTGATTCAAGGTCCTAGGGTCATCGAAACAAAGGGTGCGAGAAAGGGACGATGTGCGGGCGGGGATTAGATATCCATGAGGCTCTTCCCCAATGCTAGTCTGACAAGACGGGATCGCTTCCGAAGCCATGCTGATCTAAATAGGAGTGTGCATGTGTAGTACCAGAGATTGAGTTGCTCAACGAGCGGCGGCAGGGATGCCTAGTCTGCCGTGATGGAGTCGAAACTAAGCAGGAGTCTGTCGCAGCCGGGCGTGGGACAAAGCAACTATTGTATGTCGACAAACCCTTGTCGCGCTCTCAGCTATCGTGACGGCTGGGACGCGTCGCCGTCCGGCTCATGATGGCGTCTTTTGGTTGGCGAGGCTGCGTCTTGCGAGCCCGATTGAGCGTCTTGATGGGGCGATCTTGCCCAGATGGGGGATCGACCGCTCGTGGCTTGCGCGGGCTGCTTTCCTAGCGTCAGATATCTAGCTGTCAAGCATTTGTCTTTCGATCCAGATCATGTAGTCACTGCAGTCGTCGTGATCAGTTGTGTTCGAGACCGACGAATTTGCATTCACCGCGCTCAGCCTCAGGATGCCAATGCACATAGCTGAGACGAGTTCAGCCCAGATCTCACAAGCCTCAGTACGGTAGAGCATATGCGGGGAATTAGACGATTCTGGGGATCTGAGAAGAGTTCTCGGATGGCACGGCGCCGGGCGGTACTGGACAATTTGACGATCTCGCCAACTGAGGGGTGGCGTTTCTGTGGCATCGCAAAGAAACCTCACCTATCGCCGACTCCACCTAGGCATCGTCGGAGCGATCGGTCAACATGGATGCGTAATGTCGGACTTCGCGGGGATCAGATATCGCGTTCGACACGTACAGCAGAGTCGTTCATGCTATCATGCGAAGAGCGACGAATGACACGTCGCGTCGAGAGGTTGAGTGGGGAAGTCGTGGCGTACGCCATGATCGTCGACCAAGGGTGCTCGGCTCTCCTCACTGCGCTAGCAGCTGGCATCCTTCGTCCACGCATCACAACTCAATCCACTGCCATAGGCCTCCGATCGCAACAGCCGCCTGCCCATCGACGTACCGCGTTATCTGTGTTGACACCGTCTTGAAGATGCTCGAGTAGCCCGATGACGATGGGCGCTGGCCTATCCCCCGCTTTACCACACTTCTTTTTTCATCATAGAAACTCTATCAAGTACAGCAAACACATGCAAAATTCACACCGCAGGTTTTGTAATCATAGCACGTATGCTGCTGATCATGAAACATAGGACCTGGAGCACGGCATCAGCATCTGCGCTGGAGGCTTGCTCGTCTTGGCCTATCAATCACCCTGACGGTCGTGCCACCGCCATGTATGAGGATTTAGTCTTGGGCCTCCGACCACTGCACGTACGCATTGCTTGACGCCTACAGAATGTCCCGAACGCACGGCATGCGGCAACAACATCCGGCCACTCCGAGACTGTCTTCCCGCCATACAGTCTCGTCCAAAGCATACTACCACACGAATCTGCTCGGACATTATCTCGAGGTCCACAAGTCTTTGGCCAGCAGATAACACTGCGCAGCATTGCTGTAGCTAGGGAATATGTCCATTTTGATACGCAGGATTCATGCATTACAAATAAGCACTTTGCATTGCATATGCTACCACGGCCACCAGCTAATTCCCCGGCTCTAAGTTATGGGTGTACGACCAGACAATCGATGACCATGCGACCAGATGGAGCATGCAGGTGACCCTTGACTGCATATGTACAGCAACCGCGCGTCCTTTTGATCTCCACCTGCGAGCATCCCGCGTCTGCGGACACAATGCAATCTTCATGAAGCACACCGTATCGTGCATTGCTGCTGCAGATGGAGCACATCATGTCTTTGAGCTTTATGTTGACAGAAATCTGGAGGGCTCAGCTTACTGAGAACAGTATTTGTTGTTTACCTCGTTAGATTGTTTCACTCATCCCTAGGCTTGGATGTTGTGACAACAAGCACCTTCTTCGACTTTCGCAACACCTTGGAGATATCTGTGTTGCCTCATTCAACAATTCGTAGGCCGCTCTGAGAGAACTCAAGCTTATTGCCCTCCACGCTTTGCCCAGGTGCTGTGTCAGGCGTCGCGCTCGGAGTTGCGGGCTTACACTTCACACCGTTCGCTTTCGTCTCAACAGCCTACTCTGCGATTTCTTTACAAACAAGTCATTTTAATGCAATCTCTTCTCTAAAATTTCCATTTCAACATTTCATTTACTCTATACAATGGTTCTACACTTACTCGTCCTTTCCAGGGCGGTTGCCTTGCGCTTTCCCTACATACAACTCAAAGAGGAAACCGCGCTAGTAAAGTGAGCGCGCTTGTCCAATCACCGCCGAGCGCAAATCACGCTCACCACGACTCTACTTCCCCCAACAGTCGACGCGCCACCTGTATCAATAGTTCAGACTTTGACAATCACTATTTCACATCTCCCTCCACTCAACTATTCTCGCGATTATCTCCCAGTCGTTCGAACTATCACCAACATGAGTAGCACTGGCAGCATTAGCAGCGAGGCAAGCATAGCGCGAAGTGCCGACAAGGACGACACAAGCGACAGCTCGTTGCACCTTCCCGACACAGAACCGACAGATGACAAGGAGCACGTGGAAGGCGATGAATCCATAGCTGATGAGGCTGGTCGTGACGAGGATGCGTCTGACAAGGAGCAAGAAACAAGCGCTGCGATCGATGATGCGATCGCATCCCACAACGAGAGGACCGGCCTGGACGAGGTGAGCCTGGAGGATTCTGCTTCTTCGACTACAGTAAGTATCCATTCTTCTGCATGCGAGGCACCTGACTAACCCTGTATTAGCCTCAGCAACTCTGTCTGGTTGCGGATAGCATCCTCGGCTCTATGTTTGGAGTGGAAAGGGCCATGCTTCAGCTTCGTGAATACGTCAAGACCGAGAACCAAGACCGGAAGCCGATCCACCAGTGGGCCAGATTCGAAGGCTACCGCGGCATCGATCGTGCGGTTGCCAATCTTGACGAAGCAGGCGCCATGTTCCAGGATGTTCATCTTCCTGCTAGCTTCGTCAAGACATATCTGAGTCGGGCTACCGAGATGTCACTCACTGTCAGCAAGGCCGCTGTATTCTGCATGGGTGCGATGAACGAACAATTTACCCGTTACATCGAGGAGACCAGCGTATCGACTGACGCTGAGGCTAAGATTACGGAAGAGCTCAGAAAGCTTCTCAAGCATGGATCCAAGGCAACATATAGCGTGTATGCGGCTCTCGATTTGCTCCGCAACAAGCTGCTCATCGACGAGTCCAATCAAAGCCGCGATATTCCCATCATCGAGAAGCTGATTGCAGAGAGCGAGGCCCGCTTGAGCGCCTCATGCGAGAGCTCCTGGTGGACTCTTGCCAAAGTAGTGCTCGGAGCAGCGACGAGCGCTGTCATTGCTCTCGCAGCAGCGCACATGTACGGCACCAATGGCTTTAGTCTCGCACTCCCGGCCGACTTCAACGGCACGCACTATCAGGTCCTCTCACTCGTCCAGCGTGCGCAAGCTTTGACTAACCTCACCGGCGAGCTCTACTCCATCAAAATTGACGATCTAGCTCAGCACTACAAGGAGCTCGAACTCGCCTCTGAGTCCCACGGTCTCCGAATCGACAACCTGGTAGAAGCACTGGGCGTCCCCAACGAGGAGGGTACCTACTTTTCATCAATGCCCAAGCCAGGAATGGGGTGCACGACGAGGAACGACCACTCCTGCGTTCCAGAAATCATGGCGGACGCTAACCGCCAGACGGAGAAACTGCGTAGCGAGCTGGAGCACATGCGCAAAAACATGCACCGTATGGACATTCGCCTCATGAAGCGCCTCGACAAGGTCGACAAGCGTAGTCTGTAGTAAGCATGAGCAATGCGAGCTCGAGCCACGACAGTGGACCCTGATGTTGCTACTGTAAGCCACGACTCCAAAGATAGTGCATAGGGGTACACCGTCTTTTTGCTTCTTTACATGCGCACCGGTGCGGTACAGGGGTGGATCTGAGTCCGTTGTCGTTACAGAACACTCCTGCATATGGCTGGAATATATGCGGTGAAATGGGTTGTCTTGCGAACTTCGGTCTACTGTGTAGCAAATGAAACCCCGTCAAACTCATTTACAGTCCTCACAGACAGTGCCATCTGGATTTCTCTTGACCTGTTCACTTTCGCTCGCTTGACCCTGCTCTTGCTTCGCCTCTGACTCTTGTTTTGTATCTTCTGTCTTGTCTTCCTTCTTCTTTCCATGCTTGTCCGAATGCCCCAAGTCTCGTGATGGATCGATGTGATCTCGCACCAATTGCTTCAACACTTTCGTTTCTGCGACATGTTAGCCACTCCTTACCTCTAACAAGCTTGTGCTGAGATCACGAACCTGGAAAGCCCCCCTCGGTCTTTCTATCCCAAAGAAGCACCTTCTTGGCTTCAACATCCTGACCTTCTTCCGTTGGTGGCATATATGTCTTGGCAAGTCAGTGATCATTACGACAAACCTTAGTTCCTACATACCAACTCAACAGTAAACAGCCCTCCCGTCGCAGGAACCAACGCAATCTCGCCAATCTGCAGCCCAAACGTCGACAAGAGTTCTTGCCCAAACTGGATGCGCGTTAGCGAGCATCTCATCAGCGTATAATATAACAAACGTACATACGCAGCCCGCAACATCCACCGACATTGCGTGCAATACGTGATTGTGACACGCGGTAGAGCGACTGGGGCAGATTGTGTTGATGTCATGGCTTTGAATATGTGTGTATGCTGGGTTGCTCCTGCCGTTTCTGGGGTGGGTGGAAGGAAGGGTGTCGCTTATCGATAATTTGGGTGTGGCGTCATCGCAGGGCGGGCATGCGAACGACTACAGGGCTGGAAACTGACAGGTTGCGCTAATGTGGTATGGAAAGTTTGAAATTTGAGTCTGTATTTCAATATAGGCATTTGGGGTGTTCTTTGTATTCACTGGGTTGAAGAGGCATCGCATTGGTGATAGATGTGGCGGGGCGGCATTCGATCGGGTAAGAGAAGAGCGCACTTCATTTCAAGCTTAATGTTGCCATCACAGTCATTCATGGAGACTGGGTAATTTGAATTCCTGGTCCCAACTGTATTATGCAGAATACAAGTATTCTGTGTCCTGAGACATGTATGGGCTCAGGTACTTCATAGTGCGCAGAGAAGAACTTCGCCCACATTTCAAGTTGAAAGCCGACAATGAAGGCAAAAGTTGATCAGAATATCGGCCTACCTTCACGTTTTGCTGTACGGTTCACATCTCGGGCTCGACATGGAGAACGTCCAGACTAGAGTGTATGTTGACTTACGACACTCTCTGCCACAAAGCCATTGTGCCTGCCTACCTGAATGTTGTTCTCTTGGCTATAGAGAAGAGACCAGCTCGGGGTTCAGCGCAATGAAGAAAGGCAAAAGGGCTGCAATGCTGATTGAACACCATCATCGACCCACCAATCTCACTAATTCTACAGGGCTGTTGGACGCTGAAAATCCAGATGCGTCGTTCGGTGTTTTCGGTGTTTCTCATCCCTGATCCGAGGGGAAGGTGCAGACAGCGGGTTGCTAAGGCCGTGCGCTACAGGGTCCAATTGTTGTAATTTGCGGAGACGCTCCCATACTTCACACACCGCGCGCCCAAAACACACATCAACTCGCGGGTAAAGGTGTGACAATCTCTTCTTCTTGGACTCTTTCTTCTGTCGCCGAATTGGTCTGCATCTCGCGACAATACCACACGTGTCGACCCATCCGAATCAACCCCCCAATCCACGACTCCTTTCCTTTCGCCCATCATGCCGAGCCCTCTGAGCATGCTCTACTACGTCGTCCACCCCAATGAGCTACGGTCTATCATTCAATGGTAAGATACTACGCATCGCGACTTCTCTGTTTGCCTCCAGAGATCTGCGCAAACCTGGGCATTACTAACAACTCTCCAGGAAGGTATGGCACAACGCAGTACACGAGCGCGACGAATCGAAAGAATGCGAATCCCTTAAACGATGCTTCCACTTCCTCAACAAGACAAGTCGAAGTTTTGCCGCCGTCATCCTCGAACTGCACCCCGACCTTCTGGTGCCTGTCGCGCTTTTCTACCTGGTCCTGCGCGGTTTGGACACAATCGAGGATGACATGACGATTCCTCTGGAGAAGAAGGAACCGATCCTCCGCAACTTCGACGAGATTCTGGAAAAGGATGGGTGGAACTACACAGAGAACGGTCCCAACGAGAAGGACAGGCAGCTCCTGGTCGAGTTCAACGTGGTGATTGAGGAGTTCAAGAAGATCAAGCCTGTCTACCAGGAGATCATCAAGGATATTACCAAGAAAATGGGCAACGGCATGGCAGACTACGCGAACAACGCCGAGTTCAACGCCGGCGTCAACACCGTCAAGGACTACGAACTGTACTGCCATTACGTCGCAGGTCTGGTTGGTGAGGGCTGCACGCGCCTCTTCGTTGAGGCTGGTTTGGCGAACGCTGCGCTGCTCAAGAGACCGGAGCTGATGGAGTCCATGGGTCAATTCCTCCAGCAGGTCAACATCACTCGTGACATCAAGGAGGATCTGGACGACGGACGACGATTCTGGCCTAGGGAGATCTGGTCGAAGCACGTGGACAACTTTGAGGATCTCTTTAAGCCCGAGAACAAGCAGAAGGCCCTGAACTGTAGCTCAGAGATGATCCTGACTGCGCTCACTCGGGCAGATGACTGCTTGTACTACCTGGCAGGTCTCCGAGAGCAGAGTGTGTTCAACTTCTGCGCTATCCCACAGTCCATGGCCATCGCGACGCTCGAGACATGCTTCCAGAACTACGCTCTCTTCCAGAAGAACGTCAAGATCACCAAGGGCGAGGCGTGCCAGTTGATGGTTGAGTCGACACAGAACCTGCAGCTTGTCTGCGAGGTCTTCAGGCGGTATGCTCGCAAGATTGCGAGGAAGAACAACCCCCACGACCCCAACTTCCTCAAGATCAGCATCACTCTCGGACGGGTAAGTCAGAGATAGTCTTACTGAAAGTCTTCATACTAACGCATCCTAGATCGAGCAATTCATCGAGTCGATATTCCCGTCGCAACAGCCACCCGTGGACAAGAAGGCGCCTGCCACCATCGAGGAGGCAGAGCGGAAACGAAAGGAGGACTCCGAGGCCAACTGGGACTTGGTCTACATCGTCGCCGCGGTTATTGGTACAGTTCTGGTCATCACATTTTTCATGGTACGTATCTCCACTATGCTGCTTTGACTTTGCTAACAGCTTTTAGCTCTTCGTCGCCTGGCTCTGTGGTGCTCGCTTCGATATCGCCTACGAACAATTCAAGATGGAGTTCGGCAAGCTGATGGGAGTAATGGGCCTCGACAAGACGCCTCAAGTGGTGACAGAAGTCCACGAGACACTGAACAAGAGCGAACTATGAGCGGGTCCCACGATTTCATGTATCATACGGGCGACCAATATTGCCATTTAGGGAAACTGGGCATATATAACTTACTAATGTATACTTTTCGCGCCATGTTCGCGCTTGGTTGGTGGTGAACGTGATGTCATAGCACGGATGTCAAATTCCAACCCTGCTCTTTCATAGCTGAGGTTGGGCCGTAGATGTGCTTAGATTGAAACGCGTTTGCTCGGCGACGAGGCTGCTTGAGGTAAAGTCTATTGTGGACTTTGTCTTGAGTAGTAACGTGGACATCTTCAAAAATCAAACTCTCTTCGAACACTTTGAAGATCCCCAGATATCTTCTGGTAGATTGTTGTATGCAGCCCAACATGAAAAAAGAAATACTTGGCGACTCTTGTTTCGTGACCCTCTCGTACAAAGTGCATTGCTGGAAAGATCAGCTAGTCAATATGCCCTGAAGTTAGTTCTGCTATGACATCAAGCTGTTGCTTCTTTATGCCTTCCCTGTGTCATCTCTGAAACTGCCCGGGAGGGTAGCGGGTGGTCCGTGCCAAGCAAGCCTAAAGGGTTCACACGAATTGCGACTGCACTGCATATTCTTCCCGACAGACACGCCCGCCGCAAACAGCCACACCGCACTCGACCTTTCCCTCGCCCAACGCAAGACAGGCAGTGAAAGCCCGCGACACGTCCCGTATAATCGCCCGGTGCGATTGCGACAGCCCCACCTTCACCTCATCCCGCCCACCACCAATCGCCTTAAATTACCACACGACTCGCTACCATCGTCTTTGGAACCTCTCTACCGCCCCATTACCACATAATCACCCTTCAAACCCCAAGCACAATCTCCACAATGGCCGAAGTTGCATCAGCGTCGCACGCCAACCAGCAGGTGCCGCTGGACACGATCCCCATCTCGCCTACCGAGAACTCGGGCGAGGGCCAGGAACAATCTTCCACCACCAACTCCGGCGGCGAGGGCGAGATCCGCACCGTCTTCCACGACCCCGAGAACTTCAACGTCAAGCACCCGCTTATGAACACATGGACGCTGTGGTTCACCAAGCCCCCGAGCGGCAAGGTACGACAATGTCTCGCCTCGCCCATGGCTTGTTTCATGCTAACAAGTGCAGGGCGACAACTGGGCCGAGCTGTTGAAGGAAGTCATCTCGTTTGACTCGGTTGAGGAGTTCTGGGGCATCTACGTAGGTCACGCTGCATAGCAAGCGCAACCTGCAAGACTAACACTGCGCAGAACAACATTACCCCCACATCCGACCTCGCGCTCAAGTCCGACTACCACCTGTTCAAGAAGGGCATCAAGCCCGAGTGGGAAGACCCGCAGAACAAGCACGGAGGCAAGTGGGCCTTCCAGTTCAGGGAGAAGAAGTCGGTCAACATCGATGCGCTCTGGCTCCACGTCATGCTCGCTGCTATCGGCGAGAACCTCGAGGATGAGGACGACAACGAGGTCATGGGTGTCGTCGTCAACGTTAGGCGAGGCTTCTACCGTATCGGCCTGTGGACACGCACTGTCGGCCGCGCCATCCCTGGTGATCCAGGCAAGGCCAGGACTCAGGAGAAGGGTAAGGAAATTCTGCTGAAGATCGGAAAGCGGTTCAAGCAGGCGCTCCAGCTCAAGGAGAACGACGTCGTCGAGTTCTCTGGCCACACCGAGGCTGCCAACGCGGGCAGCACTCGTGCGAAGGCCAAGTTCAGCGTCTAAAAGGTTCCACCACACATCCAAGTCTGCCACACGATGCTTGCTACTTGCAACATCCTCCGTCGTCCTCGGACACACGGCGCACTCCACCCCTGGGCTGCATTTTCTCGATTTATTCCCTGTTTGGTCTAAAAGTATCTCACTTAACGGTTCATGATACACGGACTGGATTTCTAGCATGGCGTCTGCATGGGCGGCGAAGGGTGACACTGGGTTCTCCACATGAATCATACGGCCATGGCGGGTCTGCCTCGAACGGGTGGGGTTCTGAGCTTGTATAGACTAGCTCTCTTATCTAGCATATCTACGAATG